ATAAATATTGGGTATACTTGCTATTTTTCTTTATTTAATAGAACTTATTTGTTTGAAAGCAGTATTTTGATTTTGTTGGCGTTGATACACTGGCCACTTTTTTCTGTAAAAGCTGTCAAAAAGAAACGTGCATGTATCGGGGTTGAGGGGGGAGGGGGGGGGGAGAGATGTACGAAAAAGGGGAGGAAAGAGAAAAGGCTTTCTTTGGTTAGTTATTGAAAGAAATAAAATTTTTTCCTTGCTTTAGCAATACTCTTCATTTTTGATTTAAAATTTTTTTGAATATTTGTTTGTCCATATTGAAAATGTTTTACCGACCGCGTTTTTCAGTTGGGGTTGAAAAAGCGATTTTTTTGTTGTGTTACTTTTCTTTATTATTTTCTGTCAACTGGTTTTTATTCTTTTTACCCTGCTGTATGAAGTGTGAAGTTTTTGTAGTTAGTTGTCGCTAAAAGTGGTAGAGATTTATTTGTAGATTTCAGGTTTAAAACTAAGTTACTGAGGATGATCAGTATGAAGCTTGCTTGATAGGCCTGAACAGTTGGTGTTCAATATGAGCATTACTGCTTGTTTATTATTGGGAAAAGAGATTTTTTTTGTTTGGTATTGAGTGGTTATTGTGACCTGTGTGGTGTGATGTGGATTAATTCTTGAGAGTTCCTGTAAGTTTTATATTTTAAATTTTTTAAATTGGCTCAATTTTTTCGCTAATGGTTATTGTGATGGCGTTGGAAGTGAATGAATATGTTGTTTTTTTGGTGCGTTATAGAATTAATTGAAAAAAGAGTTATTCAATCATTTATTGCATCAGAGCTGTTTCAATTTTTTGTTTTCGTTTTCACTGTCTTGTTAATGCTTCACCATTTTTGACTTCAAATGACAGCTATTTTTTTTTTTTGCTTTTGAATGTGATGCATTCAGAAAAAAGTATTGATGAATATTTGATACTAAATGTAATCTTGGGAAGAACAATAATCGTTCTTAAGAAATTAGCTTATGCAGTTTGTTAAACAATAACTTGGCAATTTTGTTGTATGCTGCTGATGAGGAAGATCTTCCCGCAACTGGAGAATACTTACCTATTTTTTGTATTTTCAGCTATTTATTTTTATTAGAGCCACATTGATCAGAAAGGAAACAAAAAATTGTTTTAATTTTTTTATCTCTATCTACAGATACTGTGAAAAAAAAATTTTTTTTAAGTGTTTTTTTTTTTTCCCAAAAAACGATAAACAAACTATAAAAATTTTTTACTGAAGTTATTACGTTCCCCATAAAGTAATATTTAGTCCCAAGTTGTGTACTGAGTTTTTGTGATAGGAAGAATTTTTTTTGGTGAGGCAACACTTAATGTTTGTGGCAACTTTTCATTGACGATTTTTAGCGCTAAGCTTCACCACAGAAAGTTCTCTGACCTCCCGATGTTATCTGTATCCTACGACTATATTGGCGGATTAAGCTATTCACGGGAAGCAAGCTTGGATCAGTCGGTTGATCCCAATTCGGGTATATCACTTATTCCCGAAACTGAGTTTGAATGCATACGTTCTACTAACACCACTGCTACGAAAGCTACATTACTGAATGGTACACTTAGCGCTTGTTACATTTTCAAGCCCGTAACATATCGCTTTGCTTCCCGTTTATTTTTTGTTTTTGTTTTTTTTTCTTTTTGGCTATTTCTCATCTTTTTTGCTTTTATAAAACGCTGAAACAGTTAACAGTTTTCCAGCTTATTTCATTTTTTTTTTTAACATACACTGCGTCGTTACATACTGCTTGTTCTTTTAGTTGTTGTTGTTATGTATTCGCTTTTTGGGGAGGGGGTTTTTTATAGAATTTATTTTTAACAAACTGTATTTTTCTTTATATCTTTTAATTGCTTCGCTATTAATCGGATAACCTTACATTTATTTTAGTTTTTTGTCTTATTTAGTCAATTGAGCTTTTAGTGGAGAAATTAGCACTTTTTTTTTTTTTGTCAAACGGTTTATTTTGGATAATTATTTACCACTATATGACAGTACTCGTGCATCCTGCTTTTTTACTGTGCTTTTTTCTCGCGTTACTTCAAAACTTTTCCGATTACTTTTTTGCTACAGTGCATCTTTTAAGGTGATTATTTGGTTTGCGGTAGTAAGCCTGAGAGCGAAGTTTTCTGTGATCTGAAAAACGGAGGAGAACAAGAAGCAGAAGAAGAAGAAGAAAAGGGGAAGCAGTTTGATTTTTCTGAATCCTCTAAAAAGTCATATCATACTTTAAAATCCTTGTCAGACCCAGATATCTCTTTTGTGCCGTCAAAAGAAGGCAAAGAAAGTACTGCATTTTTTTCCTCTAGCAACAACTTAAAAAAATCTACAGTCGTCGAAGTCGACACACCCGGTGTAATTAAAGAATCAGCGACTGGCACAGTTGATAGCTTATTTGGACTATCTGACGTTACTGAACCAGAAGTCGAGTCGGAAAGCGGCGAGAGGATTTCTAATGATAGCATTGCTTTACTTTCCGTCTCAGAAAGCGGTTTAAGCGAATCGGCGTTTGGCATAGTCGATACATCAGGCGTAACTGGAGAGACTGAGTCTGACGTTAAACCTAAAGTAGAAAAACCAGTACCCAGCAACGCGGAATCATTGTTTAGTGTTACTGACCTCACTGAGCTTATAGTCAAACCAGGAAGCAGTAGAAAAGTTTTTGATGATAACGCTAGATCTACTAAAGATACATGTGATAACAGTATTATTAGTAGCGTTGTTTCTGAGTTGGTTGAAGCCGTTGCTAGCGATAACGACATTATAAGTAGCATACCATCTGAGTTGGCTGAGGCTGTTGCTAGTGATAACAGTATTATAAGTAGCATACTTTCTGAGTTGGTTGAAGCTGTTGCTACTGAAGAGGAAGCTAACCGGCTCGAAGCTCACTCAAATTGCAAAGGTAGCGTAAATCAAGAAACCAAGCAAATGATCAGGTCCGGTGTGGAAATGACCGAAGCTGTTTTTGAAACTACTCATGTTTGTGGCAAGTCTGAAAAAGGTATTTTTCCTGTGGTGTTTTTGCTAGATTTTTATGTTCGAGAGTGGCCTTTTTTTTTCTAGTAGTCCAGATTTATTCAGAAGTAATTAATACTTTATATTCAAAGGTGAGCCACAATTGCTTGATGCAGTTCATTCGGATGAGACTGATATTCCCGAGGAACCGTCTCCATTACCTTCAAATGTATGCTATGAAGCCTCAGATCAGGTATCAACGGGTTTTGTGGGAGACATGCACTCTTTTGGGGAAGATCAGGTGAAGTTTTAATGTAGATGCTAAGTGCTCTTATTAGGTTCAAATCAGAGTAATTTTTGTCTAAAAATTTTTGGCGTTTTGTAATTTCGTTTTCATAAGTGAATCTTCGAGTTCACTTTTTTTTTTTTTTTTTTTTTTTTTTTTTTTT